CAGACGCGAAACTTTTTGATCATCACTGGAGTAATAGGCTTCGCTAATCGCTCAGCCAATGATCTCCAAAGGGGTAACTTGTCAAAGTACAGCCCTACGGGGGAAACGTCCGTTTGGCTCCATCTCTAACAGTTTAGGTGCTCGAGGGTCTTTTTTTGGCGAAAATAAGCTAAAAATTGCTTTACAGAACAATAAGTTGAAGAAGGCGGCCGAAAAATCGCAAAATAGGAAAGAAACTTACCTCATCCCCCCACCCCTTCCCCCCACCCCAAAAAACGTTTTCTAATCAGAGGGTTGCGTTGTAGTCGCGGTGCTTTACCGTCTTACATCCCTGTGTCCACGGGGCAAATTTTAAGGACGACGGGTTTTAGCGGGCTGAAGGCCCGTTACCATTTGATTATGTTCTTAAGCAAATCGCGTGCCAGAAAAGACCCCTGCCGAACGGAGTTGCCGGCGGAGCGAAGCTGAGCTGGCTGTAATACCCTTTTCTTTTTACATTACGTTCAAGAGTGTTTCGCCAGCTATGGGCTAGATCGGCTTAGTGACCCAGTGAGTGTCCTCTGGCTGAACACTCCCATTGAAATATTAGTACCCTTTGATTTTGATGGGAAACGGGAGAGTTCAGCCGAGGTCTCCGTCAGCAGGTGGCCGCAACTCCTCGCGCAGTGCCAGCATGAAGGCCAGGATATCGCTTTCCATGATTGCTATATTGAAACAATTTTTGCATGACCAGCTCAATGTTGAACGTGTCTGATCTGGTGGAAAATTGTAAGAAGCTCGTAACACACCTCCGAACAACTGGCTTGGACCGTCCTGACTGGAGATAGAGGGAACCACATTCACAAAATGATATGCATCGACCGTGATTGGCTTCAGCTCCTCAAAGTTTTGGATGCCGTTTCGTACAGAAACGTTAAAACTAGAAGGAGAAGATTACCCAACTCTTCCATTGGCCTGCCTCTCTAACAGTACCTTAAAGGGCCATTGCCAAGGGCCACTTGAGAAGGCAACATTAAGGTATGACGACTGCACCGATTTATTATTATTATTATTATCATCA